GTTGTTGGGGAGAGGTGTGAGAGGGGGAGTCGGGAGCGGGGGAGGGAGATTGAGGAGGGGATATCGGGAGGGGAGGGGCAGGGGAAAGGGGAGAGGGATAGAACTAGTGGAGAGGAGGGGAGGGGCGAGGTTGAACCCCAGAAACGACTAAAAGTGGTTTCAAGCTGTTTGGGCAAGGATGCTGATGTGGCGAAAGAGGATGAGGGAAAGGAAAGAGTGGGAGAGAAGGAGGGGGAGAAGAGGGGAAGGGGAGGAGAGGGAGGGGAGGAGGAGGGGGGGAGAGAGAAACGAGAGCGGGGAAAGGATCATTAGGGAGTGGGGAGTGGTATAAGGGGGATTTAGATAAGGGAGCAAAGGAGGGAAGGGAGAGAGCTGGTGACAAACCAGTGGGAAGAAACGTTTTGTGAGATGGTAGATGTTAGAACACCCTATAGTCGGCGCTTTCAGCACTTTTACAAGTCTCTGTCGTGGCACTGGGATAACCCTCTCGATCCTCTCTCTCTCTCTAGGGAGGTACTGGGGAGGCTTTCCTCAGGGAAGGTGGATATATGGAGTCTAACCTTCCTGATGATATCCCTTCTTGTCCCAGTGGTTAGGACTGGTGACTTTATGATAGTATCCACCTTTTGAATTTTTTCCAATGGCTAGGAAGGGCAGTAATATGGCTGGGACCCTTGACTCATCATGCATGGCTCGGTTGGTTTCCGTGACTCGTCATTCAAAGTTTTGTTGTCGGATTTCAGGGCCCTGAAATTCCAACCCTTTAAAACCATCTTAGAAGCTACACATTTTATCGTGCTTTTAGTAACACGTTTGGGCATTTTAGTTTCGTGGTGTATTTATCTCACCCACTCGTCTCGTACCTCGATATTGCCGTTCAACCATTCTCGCACCTGCACTGTCAGGCAATTCCCCAATCCCCGCCATTTATATCTCCCCGTTTTTCGCCTTGAATCATTTTCCCCCATTCATTTTCCCCCACGCTCATTTTACACTGCCTCGCCCTCCCTACTCTTACCTCGATAGTCACGGCAAGCGGTAGATTGCCCACCCGCTCGCGTCATTCGCGGTAGTGCCTGTGCGGGCGGCCCTTGTTTCCTCCGTCGCTTATGCGCGGACGTAGTTGTTATGGAGGGTGGTACTTTAGAGGTGAAGGAGGCAGGCGCGTTGGCTGCGGAGGCCGCGCCGCGCGCAGAGGAGATTAAGGACGTTAAGGACCGGCGGTGGGATCGTAGCGCGATTCGCGGCATGTGGGAGTTCGCTTCGATACTGGACTTTCTCAGAGTAACGTTTCGCGATCATGCCGCTAACGTCATTCGCTGATCACATGGTTACCAACAGGACTAGCACGCGCTTCAGCACTTAGTCGCACTAGCATGACAACATGAAAATGTTTCAACGTCAGCCTTTTTATAGCGCTATAACGAGTTGATTTCGCGATTTATATCGAATGGCGGTTTCCAATTCCTGCTGCGATAAACGAACGCAGTTGGCGATTCGGCCTCTCGTGTCGCGCTTCTCACCTCGTGTCGCCGCGATAAGCTCCTCATGCGCGAATTTTCCGCCTCATCTCGTCATTATAGCACCAGTAACAGCTATTAATGCAACGTTATTCAGACTCCATGCCTATCCGTCCGTGCTTGAATCTGTCACTGACACTCTTCCAGATTTTCCGGGAGCCGCTACAGCTGACCATCGACGCTACAGCCGAAGACGTCGAAACGGCCCTCCTAACCCCGGAGCCGTCTCCGCTTCTTAAAGACATCCACATTACCCTCCTTAAGGTGATTAGGGTTTGCTCGCCATCTTCGCCCGACTTGCCTTAAAATGGCTGGCGTATCACGGTTCGCTGTTGAGTCGGGCACTCATCCTAGCGATACGCAACTGTTCGACCGTCGGTGCGGGTTGTTGCGAACCTGGTTTCGTGAGATCCGTTCCATTGATGGAATCCGTTAGGGTTAGTTGCTTGTAGTCTCTCAGCGTCTTCTGCCTGCTGGACTACAGCTCTCACTTGACTGGTTACACTTCGCCAATGATCGTGTTTCGCCAGCGCTCTCTTTTCGCCGCCTCTCGCGTTCTCTCAGTGTCCCTCGCTTAATAGACTCCTCACGCATTCAGGCCTTGAGGCATCCTGACTCTCCTGCTCCTCCCTCTCAGGGCATACAGCCGCTCAACCGCCCCCCAGCAGACCACCGCACGTGGGCGACCCTTGTGTGCCGGCGTGTGCACAACACTTGGCCGCAGGTAAGGGTGACGAACGTATGGTGCATGCATGCATGCATTTGCTATCCGTTTCTCCATTGCACGCGGTATTTCCTTCTCCCCCTCTCCTCCCTCTCATCCTCCCCGCCCGCCCCCTCCAGCTCCCCCTCTAGAGCTCTCAGATGTCCGTTTTGTTTGCTTTCGGCTTCTTCTTCTGATGCTTTTCGTGTCCCAAAGTTGCATCTTATATGCACATTGTGCGTTGTATGTATTCAAATACTGTGTATGTGTGCATGCCCTCCCTGTGTGCGTGCGTGCGTGCATACATGCATGCATGTGTTCGTGCGTGCGTGCATACATGCATGCATGTGTTCGCGCGTGCGTGTGTGTGTGCTTGCATGCATGTGTGTGCTTGCATGTGTGTGTGCATTCCACTCAATCAGGTCGCCCCAGGGATTTGCCCTCTCTATTCCTGTCAGGGGTAAGTCCTACTCTCCCCATCCCTTGCGTGTACCCTCTTGCTCCTCTTGCTCCTCTTGCTCCTCTTGCTCCTCTTGCTCCTCTTGCTACTCTTGCTCCTTTTCCCATGGAGCCCTCTCCTCCTCCCCCCCCCTTCCCACGTCCCGTTCCGTATAATAAGCATGCCCACCTCTCCCCTCACCTCTCCCCTCACCTCTCCCCTCACCTCTCCCCTCACCTCTCCCCTCACCTCTCCCCTCGCCTGTCCCCTCACCTCTCCCCTCGCCTGTCCCCTCACCTCTCCCCTCGCCTGTCCCCTCACCTCTCCCCACACGTGCCCCAACGCCAGGGGCCACACGTGTCGCCTCGTCTGAGGCAGAGCTCTATGCGTCCCTCCCTCCACCTGACCGCGTGCACGTCTTGAAAGCCCTTCATGCACCCATGTCCGCTCTGTCCTCACACCTCCCCCCATGCGCCCACCTCTCCCCCGTGCGCCCACCTCTTCCCCCGTGCGCCCACCTCTCCCCCCGTGCGCCCACCTCTTCCCCCGTGCGCCCACCTCTTCCCCCGTGCGCCCACCTCTCCCCCCGTGCGCCCACCTCTCCCCCCTTGCGCCCACCTCTCTCCCCACGTGTCCTCACCCAACGCCAGGGCTGAGGCGGAGCTCTATGCGTCTCTCCCTCCGCCTGACCGCGTGCGCATCTTGAAAGCGCTCTGCGAGATGCGCCTGGATGTAAGTAAAACATGCATTAGATTAGAGAGGGGTGCAGTGCAGTGGAGGGCTGAATTTTGAGTCGACTCAAAAATCTGCGAGATGCGCCTGGATGTAAGTATAACATGCATTAGATTAGAGAGGGGTGCAGAGGTGAGGGGCACATAGGAGAGATGGTTGCATTAGAGAGGCATGCAATAGGGAAGCATGCATGCTCACGTTCTTTCCCCCCCCTGTGCCCATGAATCCTCCACCGCAGCAAGAGGATGTGCGCCTGGTTGTGGACGCGGTCACGCGGCTATCACGAGTAACGGGGAGGAGACTGGTGGATGATGACTGCATACAACTCCTGCCCCTCCCCCCCCCTTGCTTCCCTGATTCGCCTTTTGAGTCGACTCAAAAGTAGACTCACTACACACGGACTGCATGCATACTCGTGCCCCTTCCCCCCCCCTTGCTTCCCTGATTCGCCTTTTGAGTCGACTCAAAAGTAGACTCACTACACACGGACTGCATGCATACTCGTGCCCCTCCCCCCCCCCCTTGCTTCCCTGATTCGCCTTTTGAGTCGACTCAAAAGTAGACTCACTACACACGGACTGCATGCATACTCGTGCCCCTTCCCCCCCCCCTTGCTTCCCTGATTCGCCTTTTGAGTCGACTCAAAAGTAGACTCACTACACACGGACTGCATGCATACTCGTGCCCCTTCCCCCCCCCTTGCTTCCCCTTGCTTCCCTGATTCGCCCCACCATGCAGCAAGAGGACACGCGCGTGCTGATAGACGCGGCAATGAGGAGGAACGTTGAGGAGATTCGCATGGAGGATGACTCTTCCCCTCACTATTCCCTCGATGCCGCCCTGCCCCCTGCACCCATGCCCCCCCCACCAAACAGCAAGAGGACACGCGCGTGCTGATAGACGCGGCAATGAAGAGGAACGTTGAGGAGGTTCACATGGAGGATGACTCTTCCCCTCACTATTCCCTCGATGCCGCCCTGCCCCCTGCACCCATGCCCCCCCCAGCAAACAGCAAGAGGACACGCGCGTGCTGATAGACGCGGCAATGAAGAGGAACGTTGAGGAGGTTCACATGGAGGATGACTCTTCCCCTCACTATTCCCTCGATGCCGCCCTGCCCCCTGCACCCATGCCCCCCCCACCAAACAGCAAGAGGACACGCGCGTGCTGATAGACGCGGCAATGAAGAGGAACGTTGAGGAGGTTCACATGGAGGATGACTCTTCCCCTCACTATTCCCTCGATGCCGCCCTGCCCCCTGCACCCATGCCCCCCCACCAAACAGCAAGAGGACACGCGCGTGCTGATAGACGCGGCAATGAAGAGGAACGTTGAGGAGGTTCACATGGAGGATGACTCTTCCCCTCACTATTCCCTCGATGCCGCCCTGCCCCCTGCACCCATGCCCCCCCCACCAAACAGCAAGAGGACATGCGCCTGCTGATAGACGCGGCAATGAAGAGGAACGTTGAGGAGGTTCACATGGAGGATGACTCTTCCCCTCACTATTCCCTCGATGCCGCCCTGCCCCCTGCACCCATGCCCCCCCCAGCAAACAGCAAGAGGACACGCGCGTGCTGATAGACGCGGCAATGAAGAGGAACGTTGAGGAGGTTCACATGGAGGATGACTCTTCCCCTCACTATTCCCTCGATGCCGCCCTGCCCCCTGCACCCATGCCCCCCCCACCAAACAGCAAGAGGACACGCGCCTGCTGATAGACGCGGCAATGAAGAGGAACGTTGAGGAGGTTCACATGGAGGATGACTCTTCCCCTCACTATTCCCTCGATGCCGCCCTGCCCCCTGCACCCATGCCCCCCCCACCAAACAGCAAGAGGACACGCGTGTGCTGATAGACGCGGCAATGAAGAGGAACGTTGAGGAGGTTCGCATGGAGCCGTTTGGAACAGACGCCAGCAGCCATGTGTTCTGGTGAGGACCGGGGTTGTGGTGGGATGGTCAAAGGTCTTGGTACTGACTCGAATTCGCATGGAGCTGTTTGGCACGGACGCCAGCAGCCACGTGTTCTGGGGAGAGGGAATGTCCATGCGCTAACTAGCTGCTCAGGTGTGTGTTGTAAATCGAGAGTGAACACGCCTTTCGTCTTCACTGTCTTCCTTACTTCCCTTACATTCCCTGTCCTGGTATAACCTCTCTCCCTCCTGGAAAAACTCTTCTCACTTTCAGGTTCTGCAATGATGCAGTATTGGGCCATCGTCTCTTTAAAGAGGGTCCTCCCGTTTGTATCACACAAGAGGAGGCTGACGCTGCCGCTGCCGCTGCTGCTGCCGCTGCTGGTGCTGCTGCTGAAGCTGCAGCAGCTGCTGCTGCTGCTGCCGTTGCTTCTGGTGGTGTTGGTGACGCATCCGCTGCTGATGCTGCTGCTGCTGTGGCCGAAACTGCTAGTGCTACCGATGCTGCTGATGCTAATGCTTCTCCTGCAGTAGTGGTTGCAATGGCGGTTGTGGGAGAGGTAGCAGAGGCAGAGATAGAGAGAGGGACAGGGACAGAGGCAGAGGCAGAGACGGCGGCAGAGGCAGCAGTTGCAAAATATGCTGCCAAGCCTGCTGTTGCTGTGACTGCTGCTGCTATTGAAGCTGAAGCTTCTCACGCGGCTGATACCAGAGCTTCTGCTGCTGCTGCTGCTGAACGTGCTGAAGCTGCTGTCAAAGCTGCCGAGACAGCTGCTGTTGCAACTGAAGCACCTGAAGCAACCGGGGCTGTTGCACCAGTAGCAGCATCCCAACCAGGTGACCCCAGATCTGCACCTGCCGCCAACTCTGCCGCTGCAGCTGCTGCTGTTGTTGATACACCAGCAAAAGCCTCCACACCTGATCCTTTGGCCGGCTTCTCCACCAATGGCAGCATTCCACCTGGCAAAGTCGGGGACTCTGAGCCGTCCATTGGGCCAAAACCAGCGTCTGAGCCCTTAGCACCTGATGCAACACCTGAGCCTGTAGCACCTGAAACAGCACCTGAGCCTGTAGCACCTGAAACAGCACCTGAGCCTGTAGCACCTGATATGGCACCTGCTACGGCACCTGATACAGTGCCTGATATGGCACCTTCTACGGCACCTGAGTCTAACCGGGAGGCTTCAGCTGCTGTAGAGCAGGAGAATGGGGTTAAAAAGGCGGAGCGAGGGATGGCAGAAAATGAGAAGGGGGGTGAAGGAGAGAACCTTGAGTCGGCTCAAAGATCTCCTGCGGCTGAGTCTAAAGGGGGGGGTTCAGCTGGTGCACATGATGAGGCGAAGGGGGTTCAAAAGGAGGAGAGGCGGATGGTAGAAAGTGCGAAGGGGGGTGAAGGAGTAGGGAATGGAGTTGAAGAGAAGAGAGGGGAGGAGAGAGGGGAGGAGAGAGGGGAGGAGAGAGGGGAGGAGAGAGGGGAGGAGAACGGGATTGAAACTACAAGGCTGGCTCGAACCCAAAGTGATGCGTATACCGGGATCGCTGTTGTGATTGGGGCAAAGGCGTGCCAGGACCAAGCGGACAGTGTTACAACGGACAGTGTTACAGGGATCAGTGTGGTAACCAGATTGGACACGTTTCAGGCAGGGAAGGGCACAAAGAGCCTGGATGGTAGGATATCCCCGATTGGGGTTGATTCGAGTCGAAACTCACTAGGTGAAAAAGAAGGAGAAGGGGAAGGCGAAGGAGTGGGAAGAATTGGCGGGAAAGAGAGAGAATACCGGAGTGGAATTGACGCAATTGTTCGAGGCGGGAAGGTGATGGTTGGGGTGAAAGCGGAAGAAGGGGAAGAAAAGGGGGGGGGGAACGAGGATAAGGCGCCTGTTGGGAGGGTGCTAGTAGCGAAGGAAAACGAGAGGGTTTATGTGAGGAGAAGTGCCAGGAAGGGGAAAGAGGAGGAGCAGGAGGAGGAGGAGGTGAATGACGAGGGAGAGGAGGGGGGGGAGGGGAAAGAGGGGGTGAAAGGGGGGAAAGGGAAGGAGAAGGTGGGGGGAGTGAAGAATGAAGGCAGGACACGTAGCGGGAAGAGTTTGGCCCAAGCTAGGGTTGCGGGACGGAGAAATGGAGGAGAGGTGAAGGGTAGAGGAGGAGAGATGAAAATGACTGGAGGAGCGAAGAAGGAAGAGGTGGGGTTGTTGGACGAGGCTAAAGCAGAAGGGGAAGACGGGAAAGACGGAACAGAAGCAGGGGAGAGAAAGGAAGGGGAAGAGGGAAGGGAGGAGGGGAGACGGAAAAGAGTGGAGGAGGCTGAGGAGAGGGAGGTAAAGGCTGGTGATGGGATGGTTGCAGGCAGTGCTGATGAAACAACCAAATGTGAACCTGTGGTGACTGGCACTACTACAGTGACAGCAGCAGCAGCAGCTGGGTCTAGTGAGGCAGATGCTACTGTGATAGACTTAACTGATGCAGACACAAGCACCCCCACCCCTGCCAAGGCAAAGGGGACTCATGAACACCCTGGGAAAGGGGACTCAAGTCCCCCCACCCCCGCTCAGCCCGCTCCCACCCGCCATGGCATGAGCATGAGAACGAGATCGGGCGGTCTGCGCCCCCCTCCTCCCGCCGCCAAGCCCACTCCCAAGGCGGCCAGCAAGAAGGGCAAGGGGGCCAAGGCCAAGGGTGGTGCATCGGCTACCGCTGCTGCTGCTGCTGCTGCTGCTGCTGCAGAAAAGAAGCGGAAGGCTAAGCCGGTGTATCTGCCGCCGTCGTGTGGGGACTTTGTCACGGCTGCTGTTTCACTGGTGGATTTCACAGCGCTCGTGGTAAGTCGGAGGGTTGAAGGTAAGTAGTGTTGCCTTCGGTTACAAGAAGACTTTTGAGTCGACTCAAAAGTCATTTCGGTTACAAGAAGGCTAAGCCGGCGGTTCTGCTGCCGCTGTGGGGCGAGTTTGCCACTGCTGCAGTTTACCTGGTGGTTTTCACAGCCCTCGTGGTAAGTTGGAGTTTCCAAACCAACCCCCTCCCCCCCCTTCCCCCTCTTCCCCCCACCTCCCCCCCTCCCCCCCCTTCCCTACCTTTCCCCCCTTCCCTAGCTGCAACTTTGCACTTTGACTCCCCGTGCCTGATCGTTCACTTCACTCCCCCCTGCTGGTTTTGGCTATCGAGGTTCGTCAGCAACTGAATCCCTCTGCTGGTGACTTTTGAGTCGACTCAAAAGCTCCCCGTGCCTGTTCGTTCACACCCCCCTACTGGTTTTGGCTATCGAGGTTCGTCAGCAAGTGAATCCCCCTTCTGGTTTCTGCCTGCTGCTGCCTGCCCCTGCAGGAAGATCTGAGCGCCAGTGTGCATAACGCGGATCAGCTTATAGCGGATCGCCTGGCAGAGGAGGCTGTTCCTAAAGTGGAGCTGGAGGAGAAGGTGAGGCCCAGGGGAACTAGGCGGCTATTTTGTTTGAGTCGCCTCAGAAGGCTTGCTTTGAGTCGCCTTGGAATAAGTGGAGCTAGAGGAGAAGGTGGGTGGGGGACAGCACAAGTAATATGAGGCTTGCTTTGAGTGCTTTAAGTCGCCTAAGAGTAACCCACAGGCGGTGGCGGATCGCCTGGCAGAGGAGGCTGTTCCTACAGTGGAGCTCGAAGAGAGGATGCGGGACAGGAGGAGAGGACAAGTATGAGGCTTGCTTGCTTTGAGTCATCTCAAAATAGACTCCTCTCGAAGAGAAGGTGAGAGACAGCAGTGGACAAGTATGAGGCTTGCTTTGAGGCACTCAGAAGGCTTGCTTTGAGGCACCTCAGAAGGCTTGCTTTGAGTCGCCTTGGAATAAGTGGAGCTCGAAGTGAAGGTGAGAGACAGGAGGAGACAACTATGAGGCTTCCCCTATCCTCGCATTTCCTTCCCCTATCCTCGCATTTCCTTTCCCTATCCTCGCACTTCATCTCCCCTATCCTTGCCGCAGCAATGGCTGTACCCTGTGCTCTACATGTCCCTTGACCATGTGTAATGAGTCGACTCAAAAATCGACTCATTACACCCCGTGCTCTACATGTCCCTTGACCATTCTCCTCTTCCCTTTTCCTCTCCCTCAGCTCTCCTCTCATTCCTCCCCCTGGCAGCGGAGGCAGCGTCATGCCGAGGCAGCAGAGGCAAGCAGCGCAACTAGCAGCGACCATGGGGATAAGTCCATGCTATCCTTCCTACCAACCCTAAATCGTCTTCCCGTCACTTGAACCCCCGACAGCGGAGGGAAGGGCATGCAAAGAGGCAGCAGAGGCAAGCAGCGCAACTGGCAGTGCAGCTAGCAGCAACCATGGCAGCAGCAGGGCAGTACGCAGGGGGGTATGGAGAGGGGCTGGCCCTCCCCTTTGTTGTTTCCTTCATCCCGTTCTGCTCTCAACCCAACCCCAAACAGCGGAGGGAGCGGCATGCCAAGCGGCAGCAGCGGCAAGCAGCGCAACTGGCAGCGCAGCTGGCAGCAACCATGGCAGCAGCAGGGCAGTATGCAGGGGGGTACGGCGAGGGGCTGGCTCTGGGCCGGTCACGACGGGAACGAAAGCCCGTCACTTACACATTCGGTGCGTGAATCCATTGTCGTTGATCCGCTGTGTGCGTTAACCCATTGTCGTTGATCCATTGTCTTTGATCCGCTGTATGCGTTAATCCATTGTCATTGATCCGCTGTGTGCGTTAATCCATTGTCGTTGATCCGCTGTGTGCGTTGATCCATTGTCGTTGATCCGCTGTGTGCGTTAATCCATTGTCGTTGATCCGCTGTGTGCGTTGATCCATTGTCGTTGATCCGCTGTGTGCGTTGATCCATTGTCGTTGATCCGCGGTGTGCGTTGATCCATTGTCGTTGATCGGCGGTGTGCGTTGATCCATTGTCGCTGATCCGCAGTGTGCGTTGATCCATTGTCGTTGATCCGCGGTGTGCGTTGATCCATTGTCGTTGATCCGCGGTTTGCGTTGATCCATTGTCGTTGATCCGCTGTGTGCGTTGATCCATTGTCGTTGATCCGCTGTGTGCGTTGATCCATTGTCGTTGATCCGCGGTGTGCGTTGATCCATTGTCTGTGTTGATCCTTCTTGCAATGCTGGTGTTTGGTTGTGCATGCGTTCTTTTTTGCGAAATATAATTGCTGCCTCCCCTTCCTTCCTTCCCCTTCCCCTTTCTCCCCTCAGACGACTTTGACCGCTCTATCAACGACGCCATCACGCTTCCTGCCAAATCCCGTGAGCTTCCGCCCGAACACGCTCCCACTCGGGAGGGACTTCGCCAGCTGGCGGGGCGGCGCGTTTTGTCTGGTAGTGGTGACGCTGCTGCAAGTGAAGCAGGAGGAGGAGAGGGAGGGGGAACGACGGGGGGCGAAGGAGGTGCGGGAGAGGAGATGGGAGGGGAGGGGGAGGAGGGAGAGAGAGAAAGGGGGCAAAGGAAAGATGGAGAGGGAGAAGAGGGGGGAAGAGAAGGGGGAGGCGAGGAGGAGGACGGCTCGAGAGTAGGGTTTATTGGGGAAGGTAGGGAAGGAAGAGGGGATGGGGGAGAGGAAAGAGGGGAAGGGGGAGGAAAAGGAGCAGAGGCGGAACTCTATGGGGAGGAAGGGGGAAGGGAAGGGGAAGGGGAAGGATCAGATGGGGACGGTTTGGGGGCAAGGAGGAAGAGGGGGAAAGTTGGAGAAGACGAGGATTATGAGCCGAATGGGAGTGGTGATAGTGGGGGTGCTGGTAGTGAGAGTGATGATAACGAGAGGCGGTACAGAGAGGGGGAGGATGGTGGATTGGGGGAGGACGAAGGGGAGAGAAGAGACAGGAGAGGAGTTGAGGAAGCAGAGGGGAAGGAAGATCCCAGGGAGCAGAGGCTGATTAAAAGGCAAGTGGGCAGGAGCGAGAGAGAGGAGATGGTGAATGGTGCTTTGGAAGGGAATTTCAAGGGTAGGAAGCGACGGAAGGGAGGTTATAAGGATGAATACAGCGAGGGGGAGGAGAAAGGGGAGGACGGAGAGGAAGATTACAAGGAAGAAGTTGAAGAGAGGGGAAAGGGGGTAGGGACAGACGCGGAGAGGGAAAGGGGAACCGTGCAAGGGGAAGGGTTGAAGGAAAGGAGGAATGAGGATACGGAAGCGAAGGAAGGAATGAGGAATGGGGTAGCTTATAAAGGGGATGCGGATGAGCTGAAGGATGCAGCAGAGGGAGTGGTGGCAGGAGAAGGAAGGGAAGTGAGTTTGGGGAGGCGTGCAAGGGTGAGTGCTGGAGAGAGTGCGAGGGCGAGAGTGGGTGACGGAGTGGAGGAGGAGGGAGTGGGCGAGAGAAAGGGGGAGAGGGGGGAAGGGAGGTTGGATGGCAAAGTGGGGGAGAGAGTGGGGAGCAGAAGAAGGGAGAAGAGAAGGAAGCCGGAAGCTGAAATGGTGGCAGAGGGGGCGTCTGGCTTGGAGGCAAGGCCTGCATCTGGCTTGGAGAAACAGGAAAGGGATGGGGGGAGACGGCTAAGGAGGAAAGGCAGTGGCTTGGTGGTTGGCTCCGAAACGACGCAAGGGGGGGGCGGGGTGATGGTTAAAGGTTCTGAGGGGACGTTTGGAGAGGGTGGGCTGAGGGCGAGGACTAGGTGGGGAGGGAGGAGGCCTGAGGGCGTGTCGTTTAAAGAGGAGGAGAGTGGGGAGGAGGGGAGGAGTGGGGAGGAAGGGGGATGAGTGGGGAGGAGGGGGGAAGAGTGGGGAGGAGGAGTGGAGTGTGGAGGAGGGGGGGGAGGAGGAGGGGAAGGAGGAGGAGCATGATGGAAGGAGAGGATCTGGGAGGGTGAGGAGAGAGGATGCTCGTGGGAGATTGCGGGGAAAGGAAGGGAAGGAAGGGAAGGAAGGGAGGTCTGGACTGGGGCATGGGAAGGGCGGTGAGAAGGGGAAGGGCGGTGACAAAAGGGAGGGGAAGCGTGAAAGCGTACCTGTACCGAATGGGAGAGGAGGAGCGGAGCGCAGTCAGCATGCTCCAATGTACGAGATCAAGCCTCTGAGGTTGCTGAGGTGAGATTTCTGTGAGCCCATTATTTAGGCGGCTCAAAACGTTGTGAGCTTCCTGTGATCCCACCAACTGCTTCTGAGACAGTTGTATTTTGAGTCGACTCAAAATACTTCTGTGAGCCCATTATTTAGGCGGCTCAAAACGTTGTGAGCTTCCTGTGATCCCCCACCACCTGCTTCTGAGACGTCACTCGTGAGGACTCTACTTTTGAGGCGCCTAAAAAACAGGTTACTGAGGTGAGTCTTCTGTGTGGGCCCACTGGACATGGTGAAGACAGGATTGCAATTTAAATCGCATCGCGTTGGGGTGTGATTTAATCAAATGCGATGCGATTTAAAATCGCAGCGCGCAATTTAAACTTTGGAATTTTCCTAAATCGCTCATCGCGTTGAGAGTGCGATCTACTTGAAAACTGCGGGCGATTTTTTTTAATTTCAATGGCGCAATGCGTTAAAAAATCGCATCGCTTTTCTGGCCAGTAAGAAAGCCCTTCCAAATCGTCCCTACATTTTCAAAAAACAGGGCAGCCCGCACTACAAAACACAGTCCGTACGCGGTATAGTGCAAATAAATAGAGCGTTTCAGCAATGGGTTTCACACTAGAGTGTTTGCGATCTTTTTAGAATGTGTTTTTTTTGCGCGGGATTGAATGCGATTTGATTAAATTGCGCAATAATCAATGAATCGCATCGCGCGATTAACCAAAAGAAAATGACGCCGTCGCAAAAACGCGATTAAACGCGATGCGATGCGGTTTTTTTTAACCATGTAGGGCCCACTACCTGCTTTTGACTCGTCACTGGCCTTTGGGGCTGTTGAGGCGCGTTCGCCTTGAGGGGGCATTTTTTAGTCGACTCAAACCGAAACCGGAAACCCAAAACCCTCACCCGAACTCGGAAATCCATAACCCAGAGAATTTTTAGGTGTATTTTGAGTCGACTCAAAATACACCTGAATTTTTAGGTGCCACGAATGTCCACTCCCCGTTGGATCGCAATGCTGCTTTGCAGGCACCGGCACAAGAGGCGACGCAGCTATGCGGATATCTTGGAAGAGGAAGGGGAGGAGGAGAATGGGAAGAGTTCTCACAACACCCCTCCTTTACTCCCTCCCTTACAACCTGGAGAGATCTCACAATACCCGCGGTTTCTCCCTGTGTGTTGACCTCAGGCACCGACACAAGAAGCGACGCAGCTATGCGGATATTTTGGAGGAAGAGGGGGAGGAGGAGAACCGCGAGGAGGGGGTTGGGGAAGGGGGCATGGAGGAAGGGGGCGGGCAGGTAAAAGGAGAGGCAGGGCAGGTTAAAGGAAAAGCAGGGCAGGTTGAAACCATGGGTGACGGGAGGGGTAAGGGAACCGGGGGGTCAAAGAAAGGGAGGGAGGGCATGTGGAAACTCAAGGTTGTGGAGTGGGATGCCAATGGTTTTGAGAGTACTGAAACGGCTGACGGTGCAAGTGCTGGTGGCGGCTTTAGTGCCGGTGGGTTAGGTGGTGGTCCTGCTGCTGGTCATGGTGCTGTTGCAGCTAGTGCTGGGGATGCTTGTAAAGAGGATGCTGGTAACGAGGGTAGCAATGGTGACGTTGAGGGAGAGGTGGTGTACTATGAGGAAGAGGAGGAGCGAGCGTTGAGAGTGCAGAAAGAAAGAGAGAAGGCGGGAAGGGAGCAAGAAACGAAGGGAGGCAGGAGAGAGGGAGGGAGGAGAGAGGGAGGGAGAAGAGAGGGAGGGAGGAGAGAGGGAGGGAGGAGAGAGGCGGGAAGGGCCAAAGAGAGGAGAGGAAGGGGAGGGCGAGCAGAGTCGAGGCACGCTGTGGGTGTTGTGGAAGCGGGACGTAGGGTGGGAGAACAAGCAGAGGATCCTTCCGACGAGGGGGAGGGAGAGGGGAGGGAAGAAGAGGTAAAGGAAGAACAGGAGGAGGAGGAAGAGGAAGAAGAGGAGGAGGACGACGACGAGGAGGAGTATGTGGTGGGGTTTCAGGGCAAAAGGAGGAGTGGCAAGAAGGGGTCGCAGAAGGGCGGAAGCAGAGGGGCAGAGAGGAGGGTGCGGAAGGGAGGGGAGACGCTTGGGCAGGGGGTGCAAATGGTAGGGAAGAGCAGGGGGGGGGAGAGGAGGAGAGCAGGAGTAGAAAAGCACCGGCACGGGGATGAGAATGGGGATTGGGAACTAAGCGAAGGGGCGTCACCAATGCTTGCTTCTCCCCCTGGTTCTGACTCGAGAAGAAGAAGAGGCAGGCTTGGTGACTCTGCTGCTGGTTCTGCTGCTGCTGCTGCTGCTGCTGCTTCACCCATCCCTGCTGCGTCTGCTGCTGCCTTTGCGTCTGCTGCTGCTGCGGCGGCAGCGTCACCAGAAGAAGACGAAGAAGAAGAGAAGGCAGAAGAAGATGAAGGGACTCCGACCGGTGTGAGGCGCAGCGGCAGGAAGCGGAGGGAGAGGAACTACAGGGACTTAGTGAATGCCAAAGACGGGGCGGATTGGAGTATGTCTAGTGAGGAGGAGGGGGGGAGGAAGCGAGGTGGAAGTGGAAAACGAAGGCGAGTAGGCGGAGGAGGGGAGTGAGTCGGAGGAGGGGGGGAGGGGAGGAGCAGGAGGGAGGGTAGTGGGAGGAGGTGGGGAGGAGGTGGGGGAGAGGGAGGAGAAGAGTTTGGGCCGAGGCGGCAGCTGATGGTGAATGGGCGAGGAGCGGACTTGGAAGAGCGGCAAAGAGAGGAGGAAGGGGAGGAGAGCGGAGGGGAGGGGGTGGAGGGAAGGGAGGAAGGTGGAGGAGAGAGTGGGGGGAGTGAAGGACGAGGAGAGGGAGCAGAGGAATGGATGTTGGGACGAGAGAAGGGAGCAGAGGAAACAACAGACGGTAGACAAGGGAGAGAGGGGAGGGAGGGAATAGCAGGCAGTGAGGAGAGAAGGCAGGAGCAAGGGAGCGTCAAGTGGAGTGCAGTGAGGAGGAAGCGAAGCCATCTTATGGAGCTGCAGAAGGGCGTGTCAGGTGCTTCACAACAACCCTGACCACCTGGTATTAGTGGGGCAAGAGGGCAGTGTTGAGGAGAGGGGAGGAGCAAGGGAACGTCAAGTGGAGTGCAGTGAGGAGAGAGTGAAGTGAAGCCACCATATGGAGCTTCAGAACTTGACTCAGAAGGGCGTTTCTGGCGCCTCAATCCCTTGACCTGTTAGATTCTAGATCTGACTTGTGAGTCGATGTGGAAGTCCTCTCCTGGCACCTCAAACCCGTGAATTAATAGATTCTAGAGCTGCTTAGAATCTAATAGTTGCATTGAGCTTTTAGGGTTGCCTCGGAGCAGCAAGGTGAAGCCGGCATGTGGACTGGGGGTTTATGAAGGCTCGGCAGGCACCTCAAAGCAGCTTGTTTGCTTGCTCCTTGCAGGGTGATGGATATAGCACGTATAGAGGTGGTGCGTGTGGGAGTTGCCTGTCACCCACCCACATTCGTGGATTCGGGTTATATTGAAAGTCCCTGAAGTCCCCCGGTAAGAGATGTCGCAAGTGAAGTGAGTGGGGCTCAACTCAGAAGGATATTGGGCAGCCTCAAAACCTCACTCCTTTGGCCAGCATAGCACGGTGATGTATTGGTAAGTGAAGATCTTCTTAGTGCATGGTATGGAAAGGTGTACAGTCCACAAGACGCTTGTAAGTTGTAACTAAATTGGAAGCAGAGGACAAGGGGGATGTTGGACGCACGGCTAACATTTCCAACAGCCGATGTTTATTTCGCGTGTGCGTGCTAGATCCGCTCCACTAGTCTTCCTAGACACTTGTAGACCAAATTTTCGTGGACTACCTCTCGTGTTTTCTTCTGACCTCACGAATTAGTTCCTCTTCGACCGGCGCGAGCGAGGCGACGCGAGATGGAGCTTCTAGGCGACAGCGACGAATGGGCTGACGTGGAGCCGCTACCGCAGGACGACGGTCCAGATCCCGTAGTGCCGATCGCGTATTCGCGCGAGTTCGACGACGCGATGAGTTACATGCGCGCCGTTCTCGCGAGCGGTGAGCGCACCCCGCGCGTCCTGCGCTTGACTGAGCGCGTTATCTCCGTCAACGCCGCCAGCTACACCGCCTGGCAGCTCCGACGAGACGTGCTCTCGCACCTGCTGTCGTCAGCCGAACCGGTCGCCACGTCAGCAGAACTGTCGTCCACGTCAGCAGGCGGAAGTCCAGGAAATTATCTGCCGGATTTGTCCAATTCGGGGGAGAAGGAGAAGGTTACCGCTGATTCAGGAGCTCGCCTTGAAGGGGATTGGCTGGTTCAAGATGAAGTGCTTTATGCCGAAAATGTGACTCTAGCGAATCCCAAGAATTACCAGGTGTGGCACCATCGCCGCTGGTTGGCTGATCTTCGCAAAGATCGGGTTACCAGGCATCACGAACAGATGCAGCAGCAGCAGCAGGAGGAGGAGGAAGGAGCTTCGAAGCCAGCATCCCCGTTACAGCAAAATCCGTTACAATCTCTGGCTGACGTGGCACAGGAAGAGTTCCGTTTCTGCGAAGAGGCGTTGCGAGGGGATTCTAAGAACTACCACGCGTGGTGCCACAGGCAGTGGGTGGCTCGGGAGTTTGACACGTGGCATGGTGAGCTGGCGTTCTGTGAGAGGCTGCTGGATGATGACGTGCGTAACAACTCCGCGTGGAACCACCGAATGTTTGTGCTGGAGCATCTTATGGCGAAGCAGAAGCAGAGAACAGGACAGTTGAGAGGAGGAAACAAGGAGGAGGATACAGACAGTAGTGTTACACCGGTAACAACGGAGGATGAGGCAGGAGCTGCTAGCCGCACATCAGCTCTTGACCAAAAGCCCGATTCAGACAGTAGTGTTACACTGGTAACAGTGGAGGATGAGGTGGCATTTGCAGTGACTGCCATCTGGCTCGCTCCGTCCAATGAGAGCCCCTGGCGGTATCTCCAAGGGCTGATTCGTCTACAGGAGAATGAAGCAGCAGGTGCTTATAATAAAGGCTATTCGAAGCTTCAAGAGATATGCTTGGATGTGTTGGGAAAGGAGCCGGAGTGTGTCCACGCATTGGCAGCTCTTCTTTCTGTGCTTGGTAAAGGTTTTATGTCTGACAGAGTGGGTTTGGTTCTGGGGTTGACCCAGGGTGCACGCGATGATGTTAATACGTTATGCATGGATGCAGCTGTAGCTGTCTGTGAGAAGCTTCAGAAGGTGGATAAGATTAGGTGGCGCTATTGGGAGATGAGGAAGAAGCAGTGCATGTTAGCTGGTGAGCAGTGCATGTGACGCTGTAGGTATTCTATGGAATGTTTGCAGAATTTCCCTGTTAGTTATCAATGCAATTTTGAGAGCATTTGACATGTAAGACTCACATGTCTAAAATTCCCCACTCTTAGAGTTTTGTAACATATCAGTGATATCAACCCCATCAGGGGTCTCTGATGGGTACTCTTCGATGATATCGGATATCAGACATCAGTGATGTGCTCTGCTCTGCTGCACCCTGGGATTCGCGAAAACGGGGGGCGAACTGCGACAACAGAATGTCAGCGACGCGATGCGGTCGGTGGCAGGCGGAGCCGCACATGTGACAGGCGGAATGAATCAGGGGGTATTAGGGTAACAGCTTTCGCTTAGCGAAACATTCCGCGAGCCATTTCAGTGTTCGTTGCGTAATTCTCTTCGGTCATTTTTCGTTCAGCCAGCAACTGAAACTGTGGCGGCTCGAGTGGGATTGTTGAATCCGCATTACGCCATTTGTATTGTACTTCGACAATTTGGATGCCTGGCTGCAGCCCTCGTTATTCGTGAACAAGCGCCGCTGTTAGTCTCAAACGAGAATAGGAGATTAGCTTTACGAGGCTTACGAGGCTGATAAATGTGATAGGGAAGAATCAACCGAACGGGTTACAGAGTTCGACGGAAACCATGCGAGACATCATGGTGGAGGAATCAACATGTACACCTCTCTGGCGTAGATTATGTACAGCTCTTTTGGTTCTAGCAGCGATGAATCTTCCGGAAGTAGCGTTGGCGTCGCCACGTGGCATAAGACTGTGGGGCGACTTGGGGCAGCCGCTCCAGAGCCATCCGCATAACGCGGGGGACGGGCGGGGGGGCGGAATCAGCCTCGAGCGGGCGCTCTCCGTATATCGGGTACAGCGTGACACAAGCCCGCTCTCTCTGTATCGGGTACAATGTGACACAGGATCTTGCACTGTATCGGGAATGTGGAGGCGTTTGCACAAGATCTCACCTCTCCCTTAGATCTTGCACGGTTCCAAACTGCACGGCGTGGACCGACGTTTACAGCCTCGCACCAGGTTCGAGCCTCCCCCCACCGCGCCCCACTACTGCCCCCCCGCGCCTTACCATCCCCCCACGCCTTACCCTTCCAATCCCTTTTCCCCAGGCGTGGACCGACATTTACGGCCTCGCGCCGGGTTCCGTCCTCCCCCCGCCGCGCCTCGCCTTCCCGCCGAACGTCCCCCCGGCGCCGCATCTGGAGGACTGCGCGGCGCGCACGGCGTACCGCCTCAAAACAGAGGAGATGCGGGGGGCCAACGGCGTGCCGCCGCGATGGTCACGCGCGCGGGGCGGGTGCAAGCATCCGCAACCCCCGTGGGTGGGTAAGGGGGGGGAAGGTCGGGGGGGGGGGAGGGGGGGTTGCCGAGAGAGTGCCGGGGGGAGAGGGGAGGGGATTCTGCTAGGGACCTAGGTAGGAAGGTAGGTAGTGGGAATTAGTTGGATGATTGGGTCTTAGCGTCTCTCTTGTCTTCTCTCCTCCCCCTCACCCTCCGCTCGACCCTTGTATTGCCTCGTTCACACAGTAAAAGATTTACTCATCCCCGTTACTGTCACACTGAATCTCTCTCAGGTGCGAGGCTCAGATGCTGCCAACCTGGCAGCAACCAGGCAAGCACAGGCCGACATCTGGCTACTACAGTTCCCAACCCAATCACTGCCATCCACGTCAGCGGCTGCCACCTCAGCAGCTACCGCATCCCTGACAGATTCCTCCACATCAGCAGCTGCCACGTCAGCCTGCTCCGGGCGGCGGCTCTTCGTCGTGGATTGGCCGAAGAGAAAGCACGGGATCGGCTCTCAGCTAAGCATCATGAGCGCTTACTTAAGTCTCGCTATGGCCCACAACCGCACGCTGGTTCCCACGCCCGGCACTTACTTAAGAGCCAGTCACTCCGAGTGCTTAGCTGCTGGGAACGAAAACTCGTTTGACTGCTATTTCTTCCCCATGGTTGCTAAGAGCTGCGGGGAGAGAGTGAGGGAGGTGATGAGGAGAGGGGAGAGAGTGAGGGAGGAGAGTGAAGAGGTGCGGAGAGTTGGAGTAGGGGGGATAGGAGCAGCAGACGAAGGGAGTGCAGGGGGAGGGGGGGAAGGAGGGGAAGGAGGGGGAGGAGGGGGAGGAGGGGGAGGAGGGGGAGGAGGGGGAGGAGGGGGAGGAGGGGGAGGAGGGGGAGGAGGGGGAGGAGGGGGAGGAGGGGGAGGAGGGGGAGGGAAAGGAGGGGCAGAAGGAGAAGGCGAATCAGGAGAGGGGAAAGCAGACAGGGGGAATGCAGGAGAGGGGAGGGAATGGGCGGGGGCGTGTGCGGATCACCGCAACGTGCGGGCTTTGTTGGACTCGAATCGGCCAATCGTGCGGTTCTGTGGGAACTACCTGCACCTGAAATACGAGGCCAGCGCTGCCAGGTGAGGGCTCCAATCTTCGGTGAGAGATGGTGCTGCCAGGTGAGAGAGTGGTGCTGCCAGGTGAGAGATGGGGCTGCCAGGTGAGGAGTCCATTCTTCTCACCTATTGTGCGGTCCTGTGGCAAGTAGTAATTGTACCTGAAGTACGAGGCCAGCACTGCCAGGTGAGGGAGTCAGCAAAACCCAGGTGATGTCCGGTCAAAGGGTATCTCTGTGGGATTGGTCAACTGCTCTTCCGCTGTGGGTCGCAAGGTTCAGCTTTTCCCTCGTATTCTTGAAAATAATTTGCGAACCAGGGAAAAATAGACTCCTCACGTGTGTAATGAGTCGATTTTTGAGTCGACTCAAAAATCGACTCATTACACACGCATCGTTCAGCTTTACCCTCCTATTCTGCTGTGCCACGTCATCATGTATGTAACCGTCTCCCTGCGTTCCACATCGTCACGTGCCAGGTTGTGGGGGTCGGCCTACTTGAGGCGGCGCAACGACATTGAATTGAGGGGGCGAGTGAAGGCGTCAGTGCCCAGGCTGCAGCAGGTATGGCCTCCATGTGATTCAGCCGGCAGTTAGCGTGTTTTGAGACGTCTCAAAACAGATCTACTTTCACAAGACTGCAGCAGATATGGCCTCCACGTGATTCAGGTTGTATCTGAGTGCCGGTTGACTGGCCTTGATTTGAGGGGTTGTGGCAGTAGGCCTTCTTGATGCGGCGCAATGGCGTTGAAGTGGGGGGGCGAGTGAAGCCTTCAGTGCCCAGGCTGCAGCAGGCATGGTTGTGGCTCCATGACCTCCACCTCTCGATTTTGCAGGGTGTTTTTGAGAATTCTCAAAAAC